AATCTTAGCATGCCTTATATCACATGTTTACAAGTAAGTAGTATTGAATAATGAGTAACAATAGTCACTGAAATTTCAAATCTTAACAAAAAGTGGGAAAAAATAGTAAAGGAAAACATACGGGGCTTTCCTTTGTTTTGAGGGGAAACTTACCTATTGTAGATATTCTGTTATTATTTTGGTATATATTATTTTTTTCTCTATGTTTAATGCATGGAAGGTTACTTATTGCTTCTGTTTCATAATACGCTGTTAAATATGTGTCTTCTTGTAAGTCATTTTCCTGTTAATACCAAGTAGGAAAACCCTTGTAAATGAAAATATTAATAAAAATGTAACCTTTGGTATGCATTTTATTTGGTGTGTTTTCATACTGGTGATTTAATTTCAGTTTTTTTATGTTTAAAAATGTGTCTTCTTGTAAGTCATTTTCCTGTTAATACCAAGTAGGAAAACCCTTGTAAATGAAAATATTAATAAAAATGTAACCTTTCATTTATTTTTGAAACGCTGTATAGAGCATTTACTATTTGTTAGATAGTACTTAAATATCACAAAATAAAATACAGGTATACTACTGAAAATACGCGATTGTAAATATATTTTCTTGAAACGAAAAGATCCAATATTATTCTTTGTGAACTCTTTAGTATATAACACCTAATCTTTGTTGATACACCAGTGATACTGAACGTATGTTTTGAATACTGTAACTGTTTTTATAGCATAGTTTTCATATTGCAACACCTTTCCTCACCAATCAGTAATGTCAGGCAATGCATTTGTATGTCATTGCATATTCGCCTTATATATATTTACATTACATAATGATCTGAAAAAATATAACGTTTTATATACTTACTTACGCAGCATGTCGACACACATAGTTATGATAAGAAAAGAAAAAGTTTTATTTGGGAGAGAAAGACAACGAATCATATGTTGAACAAAAAAAAAAAAAAATAATAATAAAAATAACTCTCTTACTTAGCTTACAATTTTTACCTCAGAATTATGCCGAGTAGGATGAAAAAAAAGCGAAATAAGAAAGGGAGGGACATCAGTGCTAAATATTTGCGCATCACACTCGTCACTTGTTTTGCTCTACCGCTGGACATGTGCGGACCGTCCGTTAAATCCCTTGATCTTACAACACAAAACATTAACGGGAACGAGAGCTTACACCACAGAGCTACACTAATACCCAACATTTTCTCTTTCTCTCTGTGTAAAGGTGAGGAAAAGCGTCGTTTTACCTTAAATATTGCAAGGTAGAAGTATTTTATCGTGTTATTTTAAAGGGTTGAGTGAGATGAGGCGTGAGGTGGTCTATTTTTTAGGGGAAAAACGGGAAGTGGGTGGGGGAATTTGAAGGTCTTAGGGGGGAGTTCTCTGTTGAGGCTTAGGCTATCTTGGGGGAAAATGGGGAATTTTGAGCTCTAATAAAGATTAATGTGAGTTTACGTAATTCACAAAGAGGTATAGATAGTGTATGAAGCTAGATCTAAATCTGGATCTATCTATCTATCCCTTTTACCTATTTACTTATCTATTTATCTAACTATTTACTTATCTATTTATCTAACTATTTACTTATCTATTTATCTTATTTATTTATCTATCTATCCGTTTATCTGTTTATTTACCTATCTATCCGTTTATCTATTTATTTATCTATCTGTCTATTTATATGTCTGTCTATCTATCTGTTCGTTTGTCTGTCTGCCTGTCTGTCTATCTATCTATCTATCTCTAGACTTTTTATAACCAAATGTATGGAATCACCTGATGATGATGATGATGATGATGATGATGATGATGATGATGATGATGAGGATGATGATGATGATGATGATGATGATGATGATGATGATGATGATGATGATGATGATGATGATGATGATGATGATGATGATGATGATGATGATGATGATGATGATGATGATGATGATGATGATGATGATGATGATGATGATGATGATGATGATGATGATGATGATGATGATGATGATGATGATGATGATGATGATGATGATGAATGTTGTAGTCTAAGAATAGGTTTAAAAGTGATAAGATTTCCTTTGTTTTTTTTTTCTAAATTCCTTACAGAACTGGAGGCTTTTGAAATCCACCGATAAGGTCAGATACTTATGTAAAAATATGTTATGTTGAAAAGGAATGGTCAAACTTTTTAAAAATCTTTTGATCTTTAATGAAGTTTTTTTTAACCTTTTGATCTTTCTTGAAAATCAGAAAAAGAATGATTGATGATGTTTTTCGTAAAGGCTTTGATTAAGTTAAAAGGACCTTTCGTTTATGATTTCATTTTTTGATAAGGCTAACCCAAAATCCGCTATTTTTGGCACACAGAAAAATCTTGTGTGCTTTATGCTATCACTATCGCCATTAATTTTTGTCTGTGCAACTTGACTTATCATGTTTCACAAGAACCATTTTCCACGGTAGTATTATGCAACTTGCACTGTAGTATGTACCTTGAAATTTGCACCATAATGATCTGTTCACATGTAGTCAGCAGTACCTTTTATAAAAAAAAAATAAAAAAAAAAAAAAAGTTATAAAAAGTTAAAAAAAATTTTATATTTAAATTAAGTATTTCGTTATAAAAGTTTCATTTTACAACTGAATCATCATTAGGATTTTTAAAGTGGTATTAAAGTGCTATCAAAGTGCTTATTTAAGTGGTATTTTTTTTCTTGTAACTTTTGATAAGATTTTGTTATAATATATATATATATATATATATATATATATATATATATGGGGGGGTTGTTAACTGCATTACATTAACTGAATTCAGAGTGGTATAAAGTACGGTTACAGTATTTTCTTCAAAAATTCCTAGTAAATATTTTCTATGGATATTATTTTTTTTCCATTTCTATCTTATTGATGGTGTTTTAATATTAAAACTCGTCGCATAGTAATTGCCTTTAAAACCATATTCCCTTTTTTTCCATTAGAAAACACTAGAACGGCAGTGTCCGATTTACAACTCATTAGGGGCCAATGCCATTGTTTGATGTAATTGTTGTATGCAGGACCTTTTAAGTGCTTCAAAGTCTGTTGTTTTTAATACTACGAGTTGATTTTTAAATGTTTAGTCTTGTGATGAAATTGAAACGAATTTTTCTTTTATTTTGAAAGTTTAATTTTTTTTTGTAAGATATTTTACTGAATCGCGCCTTTCATAGATAGAGTTTGGCAGTATGGATGCCAGTGATCTTCCTGTAAGATTTATTTTAAATTATCTCTCTACTTACATGCTTCCCCACTTATTAAAAATCTAGTCCAATATATGTGTTCTAATGTATGATATTCTAAAAAAAAAAAAAAAAAAAAAAAAAAAAAAAAAAAAAAAAAAAAAGAAAGTCGTACAGTTTCAATATAAAAAATATCTTCAACTTTACTTTTCATTATTACCGCAGGGCTCAGCGGCAGTGGCCCCACCAGCCCAGCTTGAAAACGAAAGCTGATTCATGGAGAAACCCAGTTCAAGGGACCGCTGGTTACCCCTTGAAGAAAGAAAGTGCAGCAGAAAGAAGATGAAAGAGGAAACACTAGAAATTTTTGGTCACTACTTGGGTGCTCCACTTCCCTTTGTTGATATTGAGGTGAAAGGGATGTTGGTCCACTTCCTGGTCGATACCGGGTGTGTGATAAGCGCGATCACCCGAGAGCAGCTGGCCGTCTTGGGTTACGAAGAGAGCGAGCTGGAGCGCGGACTCACCAAACTTCCTCAGCTAGGATACTTGTGGCTGGATTACAAAGTCAACAGCGTCGAGGGAGGCATGATCTTTGCCGTCCTGGATGACTCCGCGAACCTGTTGGGTCGGGACTTCCTGATCGGCCACTGCTGCGTCATAGACTTGAACAGAGGCAGACTGACTTTACGCGACGAGTTCCAGTTCCAGGTTTGGGAACCGCTGAAGACGACAGTGTCCATAGAAGGCCGAAACGTGGACATGGAGGTCGACACCGGGACCGAGAGCATCCTGAGCGGCAGCCTGAGTCTGGCCAGGGAACTCAACTTGCCCTTAGAACCTGTTAAGGGCATGTCGGTCTTAGGGGTAGGATTCCGAGGCGCAGTTCCCTACCAAGCCCGGAATGTGTGCGCCAGGGCATTCGGCCGAGAGATGCGCAATGCTTATTACATCGTGGACCCCAAAGAGACGCCGGAGGGACAGCAGGTGCCTTTGCTAGGGGCGCCTTTCTTCGTCGGACTGGAGATACACCTGAGAAGGGACGGATCGATGGAGGTCAAGTTTCCCGCAGGAAGACCCAGATGGAAGGGCATCACCGATCCAGACGGACTCGGAGAAGAAGGAGGGGCAGCTGGGCACCAGAAGGAACCTCAGGAGACTGACGAGGAACTTCCAGCTGCTTGTTACAACGGGGCTTTTTGATCCACCAGTGCCTCGCCAGTCAGGAGAATCTTCCCCTTCCTTCATCACGTGGATCAGTCTTCCGCTTCGATCTGACTGTGATTTGGCTGAATGGTTTGCTTGACTGTCGCACGCTGTCACTTCAGTGGAAAACTGTGACCTGGATCAACGGCGCTGTGTTCTTGGATTCGTGGAGAGAGCGAGAGAGAAAGAAAGAAAGAGTGAAAGAAGAGAGAGAATGAGTGTGGGTAAGAGAAAGAGAGAGAAAAAGTGATTGAGTACGAGAGAGAGAAAGAGTGAGTGGGTGACTAAGAGAGAGAGACAAAGAATTTTGTTTGATTTTAAACATTGAGGTAAAAGAGTACATCTCAAGGGTTGAAGTACATATGTCATCAGCCTGTTCTTGTTATGTTTTTAGAGGCTCAATCAATCCAAAAAAAATCAAAGGTGAATCTTACAAATTTACATTCATAACCTAGGGGCAAACTGCCTATATTGTGTCAATATTTCATTGCACTTCCATTTTAGCTGTAAAGTAACATCATGTGATTCAGCATTTCTGAATCTATCAAGCAAAGTACATCTCATTATATAATGGGCCAGCGTGAGGGATCTCAGCACTCCACAGACTTTACACTTACACTCGACTCTACACTACAGACTCTACACTCCACAGACTCTACACTCCACAGGACTCTTCCAGCACTCCCCAGACTCTACACTCCAAGACTCTACACTCCACCAGACTCTACACTCCACAGCACTCCCCAGACTCTACACTCCACAGCTCCCCAGACTCTACACTCCACAGCACTCCCGACTCTACACTCCACAGCACTCCCCAGACTCTACACTCCAACTCCAGGCACTCTCCACTCCACAGACTCTACACTCCACAGCACTCCACTCGCCACTCCCCAGACTCTACACTCCACAGCACTCCCCAGACTCTACACTCCACAGCACCCCCAGACTCTACACTCCACAGCACTCCCCAGACTCTACACTCCAGCACTCTCTACACTCCACAGCACTCCCCTGACTCTCTACACTCCCAGCACTCCCCAGACTCTACACTCCACACACTCCACTCCCCAGACTCTACACTCCACAGCACCCCAGACTCTACACTCCACAGCACTCTCTACACTCCACAGCACTCCCCAGACTCTACACTCCACAGCACTCCCAGACTCTACACTCCACGCACTCCCCAGACTCTAGCTCCAACACTCCCCAGACTCTAACACTCCACACTCTGCACTCCCCAGACTCTACACTCCACAGTACACTCCACAGCACTCCCCAGACTCTCACTTCTGCACTCCCCAGTCCACAGCACTCCCCAGACTACACTCTTCCCAACTCTACATCCACAGCACTCCCAGACTCTACACTCCACAGCACTCCCCAGACTCTACACTCCTCTCACTCCACAGCAACTCCCCAGACTCTAGAACTCTACACTCCACAGCACTGATCTCACTCCACAGCACTCCCAGACTCTACACTCCACAGCACTCCCAGACTCTACACTCCACAGCACTCCCCAGACTCTACACTCCACAGCACTTCGACTCTACACTCCACAGCACTCCCAGACTCTACACTCACAGCACTCCACTCTACACTCCACAGCACTCCCCAGACTCTACACTCCACAGCACTCCCAGACTCTACACTCCACAGCACTCTACACTCCACAGCACTCCCCAGACTCTACACTCCACAGCAGAGCACTCTCTACACTCCACAGCACTCCCCACTCTACACTCCACAGGACTCTACACTCCACAGAAGACTCCACTCAGACTCTACACTCCACAGCACTCCCCAGACTCTACACTCCACAGCACTCCCCAGGCACTCCCCACAGCACTCTCTACACTCCACAGCAACTCTACACTCCACAGCAGAACTCTACACTCCACAGACTCTACACTCCACAGACTCTAGACTCTACACAGACAGCACTCCAGACTCTACACTCCACAGCACTCTCTACACTCCACAGCACTTCCCAGACTCGCACTCCCCAGTCTACACTCTCTACACTCCACAGCACTCCCCAGACTGGAGTCTGTGACTCACACTCTACTTCCACAGACTATCTACACCTCTGTTCGTCTCACTCCTCCCAACTCCCAGTAATATTCATATCCGGACCATAATCTCATGGACGCTAGTTTTGTCCTCTTCCCTCTTCCTTACGTAAAGTTCGCGTTCATGAGAATTATCATCATTCTTGCTTGTTTAATTCTTAGTATATTGTCTTCTCTTCTTTGCACTTGTCTTATTTTTCTTTTGATGTGTCTTAAAGCGTAGTTGCATGATATATCCACGTCATGTTCTTTATCGATAGCTCGCTTTGCTATATCAAAAGACTCGTTAAACATGCCTTTACCGAACGAATAATATGTAGATAATCAAAATTTACCTTCCTGAAGTGTCCATCTGGCAGTAAATCAATGTTTTTAACTACATTTTTCTTCCACAAAACGACAAGATGTTGACGCAGAGAGCAAGTTTTTGGCAACTGATGTCAGAAGAAGAGGAAAGCGAAGTGATAGGGTGTCGTCTTCAGAGGAAGTGACCCGTACATGTGCTTCGAAAGTAACGTTTTCAAAAGTCCGGCTCACAAGAAGCTACAAAACTCTTCGGTGAATTTACCATATACACTTCCAGGCGATGAAGCGTACCCCCTCTTCAGGTGCTTGATTAGACCATATCCGAGGCAAAATTTTAATCTGCAGGAGAAATTTTAAGTACCTGATCTTACGACCCAGGACCTGTATTAAATATGACATTTGGAATGCTGACATCTAAATTCAGAGTTCTGGCAAAGACGATTGAAACACGAGTGGACAATGCTGCATTCATAACTAAAGCTGTAAGCATAATTCATAACAATTCAAGAACTGGCCTTAAGATAACGATGATGCTAACGAAGAGAGAGAGAGAGAGAGAGAGACAGAGACAGACAGACAGACAGAGACAGAGAGAAGAGAGAAAGACAGACAGACAGAAGAGACAGAGAGAAAGACAGACAGAGACAGAGAGACAGTTGTGGGTGGTACAGACTCAAATATACTCA